CATTCTTCGGGGATTAAACGAACCGTTCTAATTCGAAGGATCACGGATTATTTTCGACGGATACTCTGCGCGGCCTCGATCGCGAAACGTTGACTGCCGCTGCAATATCAAACGTTATCCGAACATCAAACAATTCGCTATCGTAATAAAGTGTTATTCGCCGGTAAAATTGTATACAATTTGTTTATTTTAATTTCTACGATTTTTTATCATTTTAGACTTTAGATCTAATTTGATGGATTTTGGAAAATTTAAGTTGATTTAATTGAATTAGTTTGTTGAATTTTGTATATGTAATTAAATAAATTTGTTCAGTTTTAATAAAATGTAATTAGGAGATTGATTTCGACAAAATTCATTATTTTATTTGGTAGATAAATTTTATCAAGTTTAGTAGATTATATTTAACAAAACTTAATTGAGTAAATTTGTTAGCTTCGATGAATTCAATAAAATATATTTATGAGATTATATTAAACATAATTTAATTCAATATCATTATTAAGTTATATGAAACAAAACTCAATTCAATATATTTATTAAGTCACAATAAATAAAATTTATTAAATTAATTTCAATAAATTTAATTCAATACATCTGTTAACTTAATTAAAATTTATTCAATCAAGTAAATTGAATAATTTTATTTAAATTAATTAATTTTAATAAGTTCGTCGAAATATATTACTAAAAATAAATTAGTATTGCCTAAGTAAAAATATTATCAAATTTTGGAAATCAACATGATTTGAATAGTCGGCAGTCAACGTATTAAGCTGTGTACACTATATAACATAACACGTTATATAGCAGATTTAAGCTGCGTCCACGCTATAGAAAAAGAACAGTCTTATGATACAAATTGTTTTGTCACCTTGTTGTACATGTTTTTATAATTTGTTAGAAGATCATGTGGAGGATTATTACGCGTTGGACTACTATGCGTTGAATATCCACGCGTTGAATTACTACGCCTCGGATATCCACATGCTGGATTACTACGCGTTAGATTACCACGCATTAGATTCCTACGCTTAGAATTACCACGCGTTGCATTATTACGCGATGGATTACTACGCGTTGCATTATTACGCGATGGATTACTACGCGTTGCATTATTACGCGATGGATTACTACGCGTTGCATTATTACGCGATGGATTACTACGCGTTGCATTATTACGCGATGGATTACTACGCGTTGCATTATTACGCGATGGATTACTACGCGTTGCATTATTACGCGATGGATTACTACGCGTTGCATTATTACGCGATGGATTACTACGCGTAGAATATGCACGCGATGGATTACTACGCGTAGAATATGCACGCGCTAGATTACTACGCGTTGGATTACTACGCGCGGAATATCCACACGTTGGATTATTACGCGTTGGATATCCACATGCTGGATTACTATGCGTTAGATTACCACGCATTAGATTCCTACGCTTAGAATTACCACGCGTTGCATTATTACGCGATGGATTACTACGCGTTGCATTATTACGCGATGGATTACTACGCGTAGAATATGCACGCGATGGATTACTACGCGTAGAATATGCACGCGCTAAATTACTACGCGTTGGATATCCACACGCTGTACTAGTACGCGTTGGATTACTACGCATTGGATTACTACGCGTTGCATTACCACACGTTGCATTACTACGCGTTGGATTACCACGCGTTGGATAACTACGCGTTATCCGAAGCTGTCGCTCTCGCGTGTGCGCATGCATAATCCTCGCGCTTTGATTGGTCCATGTTTTTCTTTAATAATTCAAAAACGAAGTTTCAAATCCCATTTTTGCAAAGGGAAATCTTATTCAGAATCATGTCAGCTACCATTTCAGGGACCATTAGTTATGAGACTCCCTGTATAATATTATTATCTACCAAATAACATGAAAATTGTGAAAATATAAACTTATAAAAAGAATAAGAAAATGCTAAAAAAAAGTTCTTATATAACATGTTAATGCAAGCCAATATAAAACAAATTAATAGAACAAGACAGTTCCTAACAATGGACGTCATTTATTAATAATATAATACGAAATACTACATGCAAACTTGTTATATTAAGTTCCTGTAATATGAAAACTTGTATTCTTATAACAAGTTATGAAAACAATACAACAAGGTTAAAAAATGAACAAATTTGTTTTGTAACATGTTACAATATAGCGTAGACGTAGTTTTATAAACGATAAAAATTATGGACGTATGAAAAGCACACCATCGAATAACCACTTCGACAACTTGTGAAGAAAGTGCTTTTTATGTGTCCATGATAAACAATTTGAAACGCTGCACACGCGCAACAATCTCGAATTATTTTTGTTCGATCGAGTTAAACCATCGATTCGAATCAATTTGGTTTCGGTCGATGACTTCTAAATCCGAGTCGAAATTTAAATTGTAGACAAGATAACAAATTTTTCTATTTAATTAATATAATTAATGTAAATAATGATGATTAAAAAGTTAAGACACAGTTTTAGGACTTTTTTTTACAATATAAAAATAAAATATCTAACAAAAGAAATTTTTTTATGAAGCTTAAGAGTAATATTTAAAAAAAATTACGAGAATAATTTTATACTTTTTCTTTGAAATAAGGAAATTATTTATTCAATTTGTAAATAATTTACTATACACTAAAATTTCGTTAAACATTATTTTTAATATAAACCCTTAAAAATAATTTCATTTCTTAGCTATAAAATCAAAATGGCTCCACAAGATGCAACAATTACTCTATAAAAATAAAAATAACAATTGTGTTAATACTTTTGAAACAATTAACAGGACGCAACATATGCGTCACTAAGTGCAAAAATGTTAAACCTGCAGATCAAAAATACAATTTAAAAATTTACTCATTTTTAATAACAACAAAATTAATAAAAACACAAACGAAAAGAAATATGCTGAATTAAAACCATCTTTCATTGCAATTAAACAGAACAAAATTGAATTCTAATGAAAACTAAAAGTTCTAAGAAATCTAAAATTAATTCCACTTAAAATCGAATCCCATTCAAATATAATCCAAAGCTAATCTTCCGCTAAAAAAAGAAATCGACGAAAATTTATATTTCGACTCGGTACCGCGATGTTCGCAGCGCAGAAACGCACCTTAAGCCGACCCAACCGTGTGTAGCCTAGAAACTAGAGTAGCCGAACGTGGAAGCAGATGTACAGAATGTTCTCTATAGATGTGTAAATAGTACTAAATAGAGACGAAGCGGTTTAGGGTGCTCGATCAAGATTTTCTGCTTCTTGTCAACGACTCCAACCCACCTCTGACCAGCCCGACCTATTGTTTTTTCTCCCGGAACCCAACCCAAACACAAAACTTTAAGTGTCTAATTATTGTATGTTAGAGCGAAGATATTTGTGTTCTTGTTCTCCCGGCAGTTGGATACACAATGCGCGATATTCGGTACAAATGGAACGCCGGCCTACAATCGGTCGGCATCTCGAACGAGGTGGAACTACCGCAGTTTCGCGTGCTCGGTCACAGGCAACGACATTCAACCATACACCTATCTACAGGTAGATATCCCCCTCTTATTAGTTTCTTCCTTCTGAACTTCGTCCAGAGGCTCGCGCAGATGATTTAATATTGTATTGAATTGTTGTCAATTGTTCACACGCAGTGTACACGCCGTATACATTATTCCATATGGTATTTTCTATTTTTTTCCTTTCGTTTAATTCTTTTACTGTATATACGATTGTTCGTTATTTTTTCTGCCCTGTTTCTTTTACCTTCGCACCGATATGCACCTGATCACCGTGTTGCCTTACCGGACACATTGTTCCGATAAGCTTATCCGATAGGACGATACGTCCCCGGGGCTATACTCATTCGACCGATCGACTAATCAATCGACTTCATCGATTTATCCACTAAGGACACTCCTGTGCAACGTAAACTTCCTTTGGTCAGGAATGTAGGCTATATTACCTGGTTTAGGCACCTTTCGGACCCAGTCTTTGCATACTTTTATATCCTAGAGTCCCTTTAAGGGGACTTATCTGGAACTTACTACCAAGTCTTTACTTATAGAATGCTTAAATCCTAAAATCTTGCATTTCCTGTACCTTAGAATCTTCGAACACTACGATTTCTACATCTTAAAATTTCTGTATCTGAATGTTCACTCTTAGGACTATTTAACCCTATTCTCCACGTTCTAGTGCTCCTAAAAACCTCAGATAAGGTTACACGACTGTGATACACTAAATCCTAAAATTCCTTGCATCACATTTCCCAAGTGCTAAGATTTCATGTTAAAATTGAATTTCTCAATTCTAAGACCCAGATCTTGGAAATACTAGGTCTTAGAGTCCTCAGGATTCCAAGTAACCCATACTATCCAAAAAGCCTAAAGATAGCAAGATAACCTTGACATCTACACTCGTTCTTAACCATAAGAAGTCTACGTTGCACCCGAGTGTACTTTCATACGAATCCCTCCCAGTCCTCAATCACCGTCCGAGATCGACGTACTATTTTCGAGGTAATTCTTCGTTCGTCAATTTACGTGTTCCCCTCGCGTCACGAAAGAAGAAACGTAACAGAGAATAGTACCGTCTCGATCTCGGTGCACATCAGATCAAGACACGACGGTCTCTCGAGATAAAGGAATTTGACCCTCTCTCCTTGATCGAGATCGACGATAAAACGAGCAGAACGAACAAATTTCCCTCGCGTTTGTCCGCTTATGTCGGGGGACGAAACGGTGAGGAGAAACAAAGGTAAAAGAATGAACGGGGACAGATAGACAGAGAAGAATGGAGAGAAGAAAGAAGGTGGGAATTGTATGAAATGATAAGAGAGAGGGAGATTGAAAAAAATGAACTTGTTGGGGTTTTGAAAGGGGGTGCGAGGTAAGTGGAGGCCCCCTCGGAGCTGAAACGCGTTTTGAGGGCTTCCGCGAAGGTACGTACCAACCGCGGGGGGTCTCTCTATTTTTTCAGTCGGATACACGATGAGGGACATCCGGTACAAGTGGAACGAGGGACCGAACAGCGTCGGTGTCAGCAACGAGGTCTCCCTCCCTCAGTTCAAGGTCCTCGGTCATCGTCAACGGGCCATGGAGATTAGTCTCACTACCGGTAACGTATGAACAGAACCCCACCCCCACCAACAAACAAAAGAATAATAATAATAATTCAACCATCGTTTTTTAACGTAAGGTATGGGTAAGGTGGAGAGACACGTTTTGCGCTATCCGATGTCCGCAGCCACGATGTCGTTCGCAGCAACGTTTACTCTACGTTTCGATAATCGTCGATCGATCGATCGATATCTCTCTCTTTCTCACGATCTCTTTACACCAAATTTTGGTCAAACAACACTTTTTATCGCTATCGTTTCCTTTTGTATCCTTGTGAATCATCCGTTCAACTTTCGATATTAAATTAATATGCAAAATGATTTACAGTTTTAACTCGAGCTTCTAATAGCTTAAATACCTTCGCGTAGGTACTCGAAACCCTTCGTTGCATCGAGTAAACATAATACGTAAAATAATGTATTATTCTGATATGTCTAATATGAAGTCTCGTATCATATTGTTATTCATTTATAAGCATGAATTGCACGTTTCACAATTAATGACACCGTCATGAAACGTTTCATTTGAAAGATACACGTCAGTGAATAAGTCACGATTTATTTATAAATTCGGTTATGTAAATCCACATAGTACTAAAACACACTTTAAAGTTAAAGTAAAATATAAGAAATTGATAGTGAAGTTATTAAGAAAAATGAATACATGAATAGGAGAATATAGATAAATCGATTATTATGGCATATGTGATTGATAAAATTACATAAAATAATTTTGTGCTAAATCTCCCAAATCTGACAAACTCACGGAAATCGAAGCTGTGCCAAAAGTAGTTTAACATCACATGTTACATTAAATTCTCTTACAATTAGTCGATTCCTCAGTAAATTCTTAGTAATTGTATTACTAAATTCCTCAAAAGAAGTGTATTCACCTAGAAGTCACCTTCCATATATGAAACCATATAAATAATTTCGAAACATGTCTCCGTAATATCGTAGTGCAAAAGGATATTACATCGTTTGTCCCAGAATTTTTCGAGCAGATCTGTACGATTTCTCTTGAATAATTTCCCCGAGAAACGTTATATTCTCTCCTGGCTCTTTGACGTTCAACTGCGTACTCGAAGCTAACGACCAAGCTCGTAACCGTGAAAGCCAGAGGCAATCAGGGTGGTTCCAAGGAAATCCCATTTTCCTGCCAAGAACGTCACTGATTTTTCTGATGATCCATAGCTGCTCGCAGCTATAAACCGTACGGTTCGTTGCAGCGAAAGAAGAAACGTGAGAGGAGCAACTCGATTTTTCTATCCACCATTTTCCCGCTCGCTTCCAGCCACGTATCCTACGGTACACACGCGATCTTCAAAGTCCGCTCGCGAGCTTACACGTACAAGCACGCCACGCGCACCAGATCCATCAACGGCACGAACTTTACTTAACATCTTGCCTCGTGCATCACGTATCTGCCCCACGCAACGAAGGGAAACGATGAAAGAGTAAAAAGAGAGGAAAAAAAGCAAGTCGACGAATTACGAGTTCGCATTTCCCGGCTTGAACCAGTCGATGAGAGTGGTAGAAAAGGGGATGATAAAAAGAAGGGACCGGCGTAGAAAGAGAGAGATACATATGGGAAAAAAAAGGAAGGACAGAGAGACAGAGATAAAAAAAGAAAGAGACATTCATGGCGCCTCTCCGTCCCCCTGTCCTAACTGTCGATCTTTTAATCGTAGGAAATTATTCGCGGCTGGCCTGCGAGATCCAGTTCGTACGGTCCATGGGCTACTACCTGATTCAAATCTACATTCCCTCGGGCTTGATCGTCATTATCTCGTGGGTGAGCTTTTGGCTGAATCGAAACGCGACACCGGCTCGAGTCGCCTTAGGAGTCACCACTGTGCTCACCATGACCACCCTTATGTCGTCCACGAACGCGGCGTTACCGAAAATCTCTTACGTCAAGTCCATCGACGTTTACCTGGGGACGTGTTTCGTCATGGTGTTCGCATCGTTGCTCGGTAAGTAACCTTCATTTTCATCGACAGAGAGGCAAGTCTTCAGATCCATATACCAAACCCCTTTGTTTTGTATTAATCTTCTTCATCCTGAGCATTCTTCAATCTATTAATACTAATTGTCTCTGGACAAATTAAAAGCAGTTTGGTGTATTAACTATCCTACCAGAAGTGCTAATCATTGAAAATATAGGGGTTGGTGTTATACATTTTCCTTATTTTTCCAACTGGCTAGAAAGGCATGAACAATCATTCTTCTACCAAAAATATGAACCTTGGAACTTTCTAATATAATCACAGCTGCACTTCTTTCAGTTCATTTTATGAGGACTTTTATTGAATATCTGAACGAATAGCTTTATCTACCTTGTATAACTGACACTGTACCTAACTGATCAGTTATATGAGATCACAACCTTGTTTGTTCGTTCTAACCCCTCACTACTTTATTATCAAAATGCTGTATCGAAAATATGAATCAATTCAGTTATGTCACATCTTCGTAAATAACTTATCACAAGCTTTCGTGATTATTTTCGTAGAATACGCGACGGTGGGCTACATGGCAAAGAGGATTCAAATGAGGAAGAACCGTTTCCAAAAGATAGCAGAAAGTATGAAGACAGCGAGAGAGAATCCAGGACCACCCGGAGTACCCGGTGATCACGGAGACCACGCGCCTAAGCAAACTGTGAGTGCAACATCGACCAGCCTTCTCGCACCCCTTTTGTCTTTCTTTCCAATTAGTGCCTTTCTTTTGCAGTCTTCATAGCCACACGCGCCTTTAGACGTAGGTCGATGAAATTTCGAAACATTTCACGACACGTAGCGAATAGCGTGTTCATTAGCGCAGATCATTAGTTTAGCGTTTTGCTCAACGAACATCAATTTTATTTCAAAGTCATCTGCTACTGTTTTTCAACAATCTATTTTCAGCCAGACCTGCCTACTTAGTCATGGATTATGCACCATTTGTGACCTCATTTATTAATGGATGTATGTCGAAGTCTGCGAAGTGTTTAGCCTACATACACACTGACTAAATTTATAAATTAATTTCAAGTTTTGCAGTTTTCTAAATTATAATATTTAGAGTTTATGATTTGATGCATTTATCAGTGTCAAACTAAAATCCTCGAACTTCGGGGATTTCGTTTTGAGTCACGTGGCAATGAATCCCGAAAGTGGCCACAAATGGTGCATCGAGGCTATCGCGCGAGAAATATCGTTCGATCCCGCCGTTAAAAACGAAACAGAAGAAAAAGAGGAGGAAATGTTTTTTTCAGTCGAAAAAACGAACGAGCCGCGAAAGGTCAAAAGCTAAAAGGTTCTGTGAAATGAATTCCCATTCGGTCGCGTTGCTCCGGTGCCGGGCCGCGTGTTCTCGGCGCAACGCGATGCACTATAAATTTTCTTTTAATCTCGGGAATTGTGAAACGAGAACGAAAAATATTAAAGGGGCGAGGTAGAACGACGGGGGAGGGGGATAGAAAAAGAGGCTCGGGAAAGAAGGCGGCCGTAGATGGACGACGGGGGGTTGGCCGCGTAAAAACTGTCGCCCGGGATAAGGCGTTTTAATTAATTCTCAACCGGATTAATTACTCGTTCTTTGACGCGATGTCCGCGGTATAAACCGGGCCTTTTCTGCTACGGCTCATTTCGTCGCGAGACTTTACGACTTTGGAAAAATAGCACCGCGGACGACCGTTAATGAGAATTATACCTGCTCGTGTGAACGATGCCTTTAGTATCCTCCTCTGTTTCCTCGCTTTTCGAGCGTGATTAAACTCGGGCACGAAGCGAGCATTATGAACAAGTACCTCCGTAGAATAGACGCGATGAATCTAATTACATTTCGAGACACGGACCGAATACGAAAGTGTCTGGGGAAAGGAATCGCGAGAATCGATCTTGAAGTCAGGTGAGTTACTCGATTTAACCCTTTCGTTCCTCACTCAAACCACTTTCACGTATACTGAATCAAAATTCATTTGCTTACTCGACATTTGAGGAAAAGCCGCATTTTGAGGGTAGGAAATTAGAAACAGTTTGGTTGATGTTAAATTGTCAGACAAGGTGAGATTTACTGTGGAACAAGTCTGAGTCAAATCATACCCTTTTCCATGACTTTGAGGCTGATAAATTATAAAATCTTATGGAAGAATTTTTGTTAAGTATTCATGAACTGTCCTTATGTCTTCGATACATAAAGCGAAAGGGTTAAACGTTGAATAACGCGAGAATAGACAGAAAGAAAGGAGAGAAAGTAGCCTATCCTTGATGTCGCATGCCAATCTACCAAAGTAAGGGGTTCTCCTCAAAGAAGGACGCCCCACATCGAACTGCCGTGTCTCTTGTAAGTGGTCCCGTGTTGTCCAGGAGGTGCGGTTCAAGGTGCACGACCCGAAGGCACACAGCAAAGGTGGAACACTCGAGAACACCATAAATGGACGTGCTGACGAAGAAGCAGCGCCCGCGCCACAACATCTCATTCATCCTGGCAAGGATATCAGCAAACTTTACGGTACGATAAAATTACCATACATTCTTACAAATATTTACGATCATAATACACGGTGTGCTTACATTATTTTCATATTTAAATTATTTTTATACATATAATTTCAATTGAAGTCTGATATAAATCAATTTACTCGAGATGCATTTAAACTGTCGCCCGGGATAAGGCGTTTTAATTAATTCTCAACCGGATTAATTACTCGTTCTTTGACGCGATGTCCGCGGTATAAACCGGGCCTTTTCTGCTACGGCTCATTTCGTCGCGAGACTTTACGACTTTGGAAAAATAGCACCGCGGACGACCGTTAATGAGAATTATACCTGCTCGTGTGAACGATGCCTTTAGTATCCTCCTCTGTTTCCTCGCTTTTCGAGCGTGATTAAACTCGGGCACGAAGCGAGCATTATGAACAAGTACCTCCGTAGAATAGACGCGATGAATCTAATTACATTTCGAGACACGGACCGAATACGAAAGTGTCTGGGGAAAGGAATCGCGAGAATCGATCTTGAAGTCAGGTGAGTTACTCGATTTAACCCTTTCGTTCCTCACTCAAACCACTTTCACGTATACTGAATCAAAATTCATTTGCTTACTCGACATTTGAGGAAAAGCCGCATTTTGAGGGTAGGAAATTAGAAACAGTTTGGTTGATGTTAAATTGTCAGACAAGGTGAGATTTACTGTGGAACAAGTCTGAGTCAAATCATACCCTTTTCCATGACTTTGAGGCTGATAAATTATAAAATCTTATGGAAGAATTTTTGTTAAGTATTCATGAACTGTCCTTATGTCTTCGATACATAAAGCGAAAGGGTTAAACGTTGAATAACGCGAGAATAGACAGAAAGAAAGGAGAGAAAGTAGCCTATCCTTGATGTCGCATGCCAATCTACCAAAGTAAGGGGTTCTCCTCAAAGAAGGACGCCCCACATCGAACTGCCGTGTCTCTTGTAAGTGGTCCCGTGTTGTCCAGGAGGTGCGGTTCAAGGTGCACGACCCGAAGGCACACAGCAAAGGTGGAACACTCGAGAACACCATAAATGGACGTGCTGACGAAGAAGCAGCGCCCGCGCCACAACATCTCATTCATCCTGGCAAGGATATCAGCAAACTTTACGGTACGATAAAATTACCATACATTCTTACAAATATTTACGATCATAATACACGGTGTGCTTACATTATTTTCATATTTAAATTATTTTTATACATATAATTTCAATTGAAGTCTGATATAAATCAATTTACTCGAGATGCATTTTTTCTTACTGTGAGTTAGTGAAGAATTTTTTCATTTTACTTGAAATGTGAGTTGGCGTGCGACAAAATTACCATACATTCTTACAAACATTTACGGTCATAATATACAGTTTTTTTACATTGTTTACGTATTATAATTATTTTTGTATAATTTCAATCGGAAAATAATATAAGACAATTTACTCGAGATGCATTTTTTTTATTGTGAGTTAGTGAACAATTTTTTCATTTTACGTAAAACATGAGTTAACGTTTCTGTTTAATTTCCTGCCATTTTTTCTCGACAATTTCTTGATTCATTCTGTAAAATTCTAGAGGCAAAATAACGCATGTTGTTCTTTTTCAGGTATGACGCCATCGGACATCGACAAATACTCCCGCATCGTGTTCCCGGTGTGTTTCGTCTGTTTCAACCTGATGTACTGGATCATCTACCTGCACATCAGCGACGTGGTGGCGGACGATTTGGTGCTTCTCGAGGAGGCCAAGTAAACGCGAACAAACGGTTCGTTAATAGCGAAGGGAACGTGCGGTCAAAGACAGCTACGAAAGTATATAAAGCGAACAAGGAAGAAAAAAAGGGGGTGGGCGAGGGGTGAAACCAATTCGACTAGATATAGATCGAGAATCGATGTACCGCAAATGGGACGGACTAAAAATAACCCTGTGATTAATTCGAGGCGAGTGGAGGTACAAGAAAAACAAAAAAAACAAAAACTGTATAAATTAAACCCGAGACACGAACACGTCGGATCGACGAACGAGGAGACCAGCATCGGAAGAAGTCAAGATGGCTGCCGCCGTGACCGATTCATCGACGATCAGAAAGTGTCAAGACCAAATACGTCGACGAAAGAACAAGAAGAAACGAAACGAGCTTTTGTGCTTCGTTTAATAGCAACAGGAGTTAAGGACAGTTGCTGGTCAGACCGGTCGGACGACAAACCGCGCTGTGACTACTTCGTGACATTCCATAGAAAACGTAGCACGCCGATCCGAAACCAAAAAAAAAGAAAAAATTACAAGCGAAGTGATTAAACGCGATCCCTCGCCGAACCGCGAGAAAGAAAGTGAGCGAGAAAATCCGAACTAACCACCAGCGTGCATACCTTTAAAACATTGCCAGTCTAGGTATCTAGGTCTTAAATAAACCAAAAAAAAAAAAACGAAAGAAGAGAATACCTTCGATATAAACACTTGTCAATTTAGCCATCATTATATACATACATATATATATACATATATATATAATAAAATTAAGTGCCCCTGACGGGGGTGAACAAGATAAAATAAACTCGTCGACTCGAGACGACGAATCGGGAGATGGCCGACGGATAAATTCGAGGAACGTAGCTCGGAAAATGGCGCTCGAGTGTGCGCGAGGTTCGAGCCGAAACGACGAGGAATCGCAAGAATCCCGTATATATACGCGAGACGGCGCGAGAGTGGACGCGTGTGCTCGCCACTGTCCTACGAGTGCGTGTATATCCGCGTGTGCGTGTGTGTGCGTGTGTGTATGTCCCGCGAGCGCCAGGCCGCGTGCACGAGAGGATAAGAGCCGAGGTTTTTATTTCGAACGAGGACAAAAGTAAGAAAACGGTTCACTACCGGAAACTGGTGCGACTTAATCCGTTAAGTAAGTACGTTCTAAGTAATCCACGATACGCGACAAGAAGGCGTGCCGCGCGCGCACGATCAGGGCGAATTTAACGCACGTACACGATCAATCGCGGGAAACGATCGACCGGGAAATCTCCGGCTCCATTGTCCGCGCGATCGACGCGAGTCGCATCATTTCGAGGTAGAGCTGTTTCTCGAACGTCTTTTTTATTGCCACGAACGTTATGTGTGTCCGTTTCATTTTATACCACTTTTTTACCATTTATAGAGAACTCGTCGAACGAAGCGACTTTTATATTTACGTCACCTCTATGTGTATGGCCGCGATCCTCCCTCGGAATCGTTGTAACTTTCGTGATATCGCCGCGGCGCCTGTACGTGTTCGTGTACGTGGAGTACGGCTCAACGTGGGGAGTGTCTTCACACGGATGTACGGGATATTCCCATGGGACATTCCATTTCATCGAATAGTTATTACGGTTTTCGAGATCACTGTGTCGAGTAGTGATGGGTTTAAGTTATTTAGTCGAGTAGTGATGGGTTTAAGATTCGAATTTTTTTTATTCGTTTTTTTTCGTGGTTTGTTTTATGTACACTGGAGAGCATGATAGATTTCCTTAGGGTGAATTGTGACGTAAGGGAAAATTGGTTTTGGTAGGAAAAGGTTCGAATTTGGAACTGTAGAAATCTCCTTCGGATTTGGAGAATTTAGAATTTTAAGACTTCTGAAAGAGTACCTGGGAGTTTAGAGAATTTGGGAAAATGGGGAATTAAGTGTTTAGAATTTAGAGATATTGGGATTTTTGAAATTTTTAATTTACGGTATTAAAAATCTAAAAAGGAAAATTTGAAAATGTAGGGATTTGGGGACTTGAACTTCCAAGATTTGGAAATTCAAGAATTGAGAAAGAACTTCAGAAATTTGAAAATCTAGGGATTTAGAAAATTCAGAGGTAAAATTTGAAAAATCCTAAGAAGGCTAACTGTAGACCTCCTCTATTTTTATCCAAAGGAAATCTACGTCATCTGAGTGTACAAAGTATTTGATCTTTATAACCTCATTTTAAATGAGTATTTAAAATAAATACTTGCAAGTTAGCAAAATACTTATAAATACTTGCAAATATTTGTATTATATCAAATACTGAACCTGTATATTGTTTATTTGTAGTCTTCCTAAAAAAATGTTTGAAAATGATTTCATTAAATATATAACAATATTCAAAATCAAACAAAATTAATAAAAATAATACGACTCGTCGGTGTCTCATTGATAAATAACGCTTATATTATTAAAATATCGAATGAGAATGACTTTATCATTGAAGTTTGTTTATTCTTATTTAAATTTCAAATCGAATCTAACCTAACTAACCCTTTAAGTTATTAATTTATATGTCAGGTTTAGTGAAGTTAGGTTAGATCAAAAGTTTAAAGGAAATTTTAGGGAACGAAATAACATGTTATATTATACTTAAATCATTCTTATTTCTCTTTAACGATATTTTAATGATATTGTCAATATATTGAATTGCTGTGAACATTTCAATATTATCAATGATATTTATCAATGTCGCCGATATTAATATTTTTACTTTAATTATTTTCCAAAGTGTTTATACACAATTTGAATCTATCGCAAATGAATTTGAGTATCTAATAACTCAAATTTTTGAACTTAAACCCATCACTACCTACGAGGGTCGACGAGCAAGGAGAAACCAATCAATTCTAATTGAAAAACAATTAATTCAGAAATCAATCAAATATGATGCACAGAATAGTTTCATTTGAACACTTTCATGCAATTAACACCTTCAATCCCGACTCATACAAGACTTGCATAAAACGTAAAAGAACCAGCTTCACCAAATACATCCTTGTATTCCCTGACCTAACCTGTTAGATCCTTATCACATGTACATGTCCTAATTTCGTACATTTTTACGTTTAAGCAACTGTACGACCTCAAAGATCATCACCTACGCGCAGGGTGTTTCAAAACATGGTCGGGATCGAAGGTGTTAAATAGCTTTCTCTTGCGTCGTGTGAAGATATTGAAATGATCAAAAACGTCGTCATCTTGCACATACTACATCTCCTAATTTTCAGTTTTCTAAATTCTCAAATTCCAAGTTCCCTAAGTCCCAAATTCTCTAAATCCCACATTCCCCAAATTCCAAATTCCCCAAATCCCAAATTCACCAAATCTCAAATTCCCCAAATGTCAAAGTCCCCAAATCCCACATTCACCAAATCCCAAATTCCCCAAATCCCACATTCACCAAATCTCAATCCCCAAATCCCGAATTCCCCAAATTCCAAATTCTCCAAATCCCACATTCACCAAATTCCAAATTCCCCAAATCCCAAATTTCCCAAATCTCAAATCCCCCAAATCCCAAATTCCCCAAATTCCAAATTCCCCAAATCCCAAATTCCCCAAATCCCAAATTCCCCAAATCCCAAATTCCCCAGATCCCAAATTCCCCAAATCCCAATTTCCCAAATTTCCAAACCCCAAACCTTCCAAATTCCCAAATTCTCAAATTTCCAAATCTCCCCAAAAATCCAAAACCACAAACAGCGAATTCCAAATTAAAAAACCCCAAAATATTCAAAGTAATAATAAATTCAGTATGCGTTCTTCGGTCAAATGCAACGACTATCCACGTTAACGACACCTTAACGACACTTTCAATATATCGTTAAATATCAATAAGGTATCGATAATCGATAGTCACATTTCTTCCTCATTAAAGCTGTTATCGAAAAAAAGCAAAACGGAAGTCGTAGGAGAACAGGCTGCGATGTTAGCGTGCATACAAAACGCGAGCTCGCGTTTATCCTCCCTGCGTGGATTAGTTTCAGCGTCGTACACATACGTCTACGACGTATATATACGGACCGCGGTCCTTCCGTTAGAGAGGCCCTTCGTGGCCGTACACCGTCGCGTCGGTACGTTTTTGCCCGAGTTAATTAACGCCAATTGTATGCCGTTCCACTTCCGTCTTTTGGATACCCGCTGCTGCAGCCTGTTCGCGTTTTTCCCGTCGCGTTTCCCTCTATTTCTCTCCCCCTCTTCTTTTCTCTCAACCTTGTTCTTCTCTCGTCTCTCCTCTCCGCCGCTTCTGTATCTTCCAGCGTGGTTGCCGGCTGCAGACTGGGTCGTGGAAGCTTGCCATTCAAGATATCGACCAGCTGACACGCCCAACCACCCTCATCCCTCTCTCTCTTATTCCTCCCTGTTTTCTCTCCTCGTCTTTATCGGACCGCCGTTCTTCTCCGCAATCGCCAAACAGTCCGTTTGCCAGACGCTCTCGCTCATTGTGCATTTAATAAGGAGCTTCTTGCCTCGCGAGAATTCTTTATAAAAGTAGGTAATCTTGCTCGAGGATCTCCTTGCTCGCCATCCTCCTGCACGCGGGCAAAAAATAAAGTGGCCCTGTTAGGCCGGTCCCGTACCACGTTGAACCGGGACGAACCGTGTGTCCCAACTCCCCCGACCCCCGTTGATCAACTTTATATTTATTTTTTTCCGAGAAATTCGAGGGCGACGAGATGATTCGAGAAGGAAATCGATTAGCGAGACGGGAATTAACATTTCTTAGCCCTCGTTCGTCTCTTCGTTCTGCACGCGTTGAAAATGATAGAACGTAAGTTATATCGACGATACTTCCACGTCCGCCCCACCGGAAGCATTACTAATGCAATTTATATATATATACGTATTATGTACTGGGTGTTTTGGTATTGTCGGATGGATTATTTGTGAAAAAAACTGGTGGAAAAACGATGATTTTTTGGTTAAGATTTCGTTTTCTTGGAATGTTTAGTACAAGTTAGGTGCGCGCGCAGAAGGAACGCCCACCGTGTAGCACTCACGCA